TCCCCGGCCACCGCCCCCCACCCAGGCCCCTGCCCCTCTGCACACTCAGCTGAGGATCGAAGGAAGGGGCCAAGCTCCCCCTGGATTCGTGTGGCTTTGCTGTCTCACATGAGGCCGCCCCGCTGGACAGCGCTGGCACCACTCAGCCCCTCTCCTGCCCCTGAGCTGCTGGCCCCACCTCAACCTTGAAGTGACGCAGGCTGGGCCCAGAGCCTGGGAAGCTTTGTAAGAAAAACCAAGCCCTTGGGCTGACGGGGCCAGGAGATGACCTGATAAGCACCCGGTCCCTCCTCCCCACAGAGGGTCAGGGAGGGGACACTCGTGGGGGTGCCACTCCCCCAGTCCCACTATCGGTGTAAATGGTAGAGCGACAGATCGGGCCACCCGCAGGGAGTCAGGACCCCCAATCCCTGACATGTCACCCCAGGGCCCAGAGCTTCCCCGCCTGGCCGGGTCCCCTCCTGCTGGCGCACTGGCGGCTGGATGGTTTTTCCCGGGAGAGCCCTGGGCCCAGCTCCTCCCGCCATCCTCACCGGTCTCTGTTCTGGACTGAGTGCTGTGGTGCTGGACTGTGGGTCCAGTTCTCTTTGGGGGTCCTCCCAGGGCTTGTGACCCCCAGGGCTGAGCTTCTCCGGACCCTTGCACCCGACCTTCAGCTGGTTTCTGGATCGTCACTCATCGCTGTTCCAGCTGCAAGTGGCCCTGCCTGGACGCAGCACCAGTCCAGCTCCACCTCAGGAGCCGGGCCCCGGGCACTGAGAAGGTGGCGGAGCAGAGCCTGGAAAGGAGTGGGAATGGCCACCCGTCTCCAGCGCCAGGGCTGGGGCCTCCAGGAGAAAGGAGAGAGCCCGGTCCTCCGGACCCTGGGACTGTCTGTGTCCTCGCCTGGCCTCTGGGCGACTCTTGTCTACACCGGGGCTGACCCTCACCGTGTATGTCTCTGCCATGCAGCGTCACTCACACTGGGTCTCACTGCTGCTCTCGGGGCCCACAGGAGGCCAGGGTGGGTTTGGGTCAGAAGCCATTTTAGGGTTGGAGTGCCTGGGTGCCTGGACCCTGGGCTGAACCCCCAGGCCCTGCCTTTGCCATAGAAGGGGCCTCAGTCTTGACCTGCAATATATGTGTCCTGGGGTACTTTGTGGGGTGTCTACACTGTAGCTGGCCCCGGGCTTTAGAAAGCACCCTCTGGGGCCTCCCTGGTGGTGCAGCAGGTTAAAGCGTAGCACTGAGAAGCTAAAGGCACTTCAACATGAGTTCGATCCCCAGCCCAGAGGTGACCCACATGGCGCAACAGACCTCTCCTGACCCGCCCGCTGCTCCCCTCAGCAGTGTACTTCATCAGTTGGCCTGTTCTGCTCCCCACTCTGTCTCTGGTGGATCCTCTCACTGCCCCTGCACCTCTGACCTGTACCCCAGTTCTGTATGCATCAGTAAATCAATCTTTAAAAAAAAAAAAAAGAAAAAGAAAAAGAAAACACCCTCTGCCCCACAAAAGAGCCGGTGGGGTTGGCAGATACAAACACCCCACCACACACACACATTCATACCACACACATGCTGCTCACACCCTTCTCTTCTGAATCCTCTGGTTCTGCCAGCCGCCTCTGCCAACCAGAGCCACAGAGAGTGGCCAGGAGTCAAAGACGGACTAGCAGCTGGCCTCCCCGGAGCGTCCCCAAAGCTTGGCATCCTCATCCACAGCAGGGAGGACAGAGCCCCCACCCCAGCAGGGCTCCTGGGAGGAGAGGTGACTGGATGAAAGCACTTCACACACAGGGAGCCTATCCACCACATTCACGCCACCTGGCCCCCACCTCCCCACTGTTCATTCCCAGCCTTGCCCGCTCTCCTGAAGGGCTGGGGGAGAAGGGGCCATGAGAGGGGGTGGGTGGTCAGTCACCCTCACTGGCTACGACAGGCCACCTTCTTGTCAGGGTCACCTGAGGAAGCAGAGCCTGCAGCCACTGTCCGAAGATGCCTGATGAAGGCCCGGAAAGAGAGGACAGGTGGGGAGAAGTGAGACCCTGGGGCAGGGCCCCCACCACTGAAGCTGGACCCCCACATGACATGGACCCACATATGGCAGAGGAGAGGCCAGGCCCATCTGCCACCTCCCGCTTACCTATTTACCCCCAGGGCCTGGTTCCCACTGATCTCCCAGACTGACGTGACATGGAGAAGACCCTCCCCCCTTCCTTACTGTTTGCCTTGGACCGGCTCTCCGCCCCACCCCCACTGCTGTCACCACTAGATGTGCAGGTCCTGCCCTGTCATTTATCAAGGACGGCTTCCGGCCTCCCTGCGCCCTGCGGCTTGGAGCCGGCTGGATGACATCAGCAGCCACGCAGGCAGCGACCTGTCTCACCCTGGCCTCTCGGGTCCTTGAGTACCCCTTCCAGGGGGCTCCCCACCCCACCCCGCTGAGCCAACCACCTCACGCCCTGCTTTGGATTTGTCAGCATGGATTTGCAATGGATTCACCTCCAAAAAGTCGACCCCTGGCCCTCCCTGGTGGCGCAGCGGGTTAAAGCGCAGCACTGAGAAGCTAAAGCCACTTCAGCTTGAGTTCTATCCCCACCTGCCCCGGAGGTGACCACATGGCGTGGCAGACCTCTCCTGACCCGCCCGCT